AATACCCTTACCACTATGTGGTGTAGGGTATAAAAATGTTAAAATGTGTGTGAGGTACCAGGTATAGTATTCCATTTGCATGTTTTATCTAATACCTATAAAAATATTAGTATGGGCAAAATTACAAAAAATCGAACATTTATATCCAATTTTATGCAAAATCATAAATTCCATATTCATCTCAGGTTTCTGGTTGAGAGAAATATTTAGATATAACAAGTTGTAAAGAATCACTGACTTGTTTCGCAAGTTATGACAGATAAAAGTATTAAAAATTGTGACCCTTTGTTGGTGAGGTATCAGAAGAGGTTCGCAGATAAATATCATCTTCACAACAGATATTAGATTAGCAAAAACGTTTGTATGTGTGAAATTTGAGGAGATTTGGATGCTTATTTCACTTTCTTTGAGCGTCTTGTTTTTTATCTTGAACCCTATGTGGGGCAGATAGCAAAAGAAATGGTCCGATCTCTACCATTTTTATAACAGATCTTGTGTTGATGGAAGTATTAAGATGCACCAAGTCTTAAATGGAGTCGGAGGTTTATTTCGCTTTTTATGAACTTGGTGGATATTCAAAATTTTGAACCTTTGTAGGGTTGGTACCAGAAGGAATGGTCCGACCTCCACCATTTTAATAACATATCCTGTGTTGATGGTAATATTGAGATGTGACAAATCTAAATGAACTCGGATGTTAATTTCGCGTTTTATGAGCTTAATAGATATTCAAAATTTCGATCTTTTGTGTGGGATGTACCAGAGGGAGTGGACCAATATATTACATCTTCACAGCAGATCTTGTATTAGTAGAAACAATTGAATGTGTGAAATATGAAGAGAAACGGATGCTTATTTCGGATTTTATGATCGTTTTGGTCATTCAAAACTTTGACCTTTTGATCTCTACCATTTTCATAACAGATCTTGTGCTGATAGAAGTATTGAGAAGCACCAAGTCTGAATGAAATCGAATGTTAATTGCGCTCTACATATATGAGCTGCATGGATATCTAAATTGTGACCTACTATGTGGGAGGTACCAGAAGGTGTAGACCGATATAGTTCACCATATTGTGTGTAATTTGAAGACAATCGAACTTTTGCATCACATTTAATATGATTTATAATTATTCAAAATTTGACCCTTTGTGGGGAAGGTGTTTGATGGAGTAGACCGATATTGTCCAGTTTCGCACCTGACCTAGCACTGATGGAAAAATTAGAATTTCAAAGTTAGAGCGAAATCGGATCATCCTTTCTGTTTCTGTGCAGTAAAATATTTTTTTTTTTCGAAAATTTCGACCTTTTGTGGGGGATGTACCAGAGGGAGTGGACCGATGTATTCCATCTTAACACCAGATCTTGAGTTTACAAAAATATTTGGATGTGTGAAATTTAAAGACAATCGGATTCTTACATCACATTTTATAAGAGTTATAATTATTCCAAATTGTAAATCTGTTTGCGGGAAGCACTTGATAGAGTGGACCGATATTGTCCATTTTCGCACCTGACCTAGCACTGACGCAAATATTAGGATTTGCAAAGTTGGAGCAAAATCGGATTATCGTTTCTCTTTCTGTGCAGAAAATATATTTTTTTTTTTTTGGAACATTTCGACCTTTTTTGGGGGAGGTACCAGAAGGAGTGGACCGATGTATTCTATCTTAACACCAGACCTGAGATTAACAAAATTATTGGGATGTGTGAATTTTGAATTATTCAAAATATTGACCCTTTATGGGGGAGGTACCTGATGGAGTGGACCCATATTGTCCATTTTCGCACCTGCTCTAGCAGATACTGCCTTCGAGAGTTATTGTGCGCACCAGCCACACAGACAGACTGACGGACGGACATCGCTAGATCGACTCCAAATGTCCTGAAACGGATTTGGTCCAAAGAGACCTAGGGTCTAAAACCGTTATTTCGATGAGGCACGTTTTGGCCATATCAAATGATATATACCCTGTGTAGCCATATGGCTGAGGGTATAAAAACTAAACTGTTATTCGGGTAAGTATGCAGGCAGTTCACTGATATAATTTAATTTACATACAATTGTGAAAGTCAATTAATTTCAATTAATTCTGTAGTACCCATTACGTACCCACATATTCCGACCGACCTTATATTATGTGCTGGAGCTGGAGCCAGTGGCGGGACATAATATAAGGTCGGAAATAGCATCAAATTATAGAATAAGTTTAGATTGGTTCGAATTGGTCACCTTTGGCACGAATTAAGACCTTCAAACGGCCAATGAATCCGTCACACGCAGCCCGAATGTTGCTCTGTGGTATTTTGGCCCAGTCCTGGCGAAGCGCTTGCTTGAGGTGATCGACACTTTGGTATTTTTTAGTGCCAACCTTGGATTGGTATCCGGAGATTTTGGTGGCCATTGTGCGCTGGAAATGAAAGAGGAACCTCATTTTGTAACCCTTCTTGGGTGGCGCGTGCTGAGTCCTGTTGGAATGTCCAAGGTCTGCGGCCGATTAATACGAGCGGAGAGCGGCCGGCGCTTGAGTTCTGGTGGTTTAGAAACCCGCTGGACAACAAATGTTTTCTCATCGGAGAAAAACAAATTCGGCCAAGCGAAGCAACTCTTTAGCTCTTCTAAATCTATTTTCTTTCTGTTGTGGTATAAGTTCTTGCACTTTTTGGAGTTTCAATGGCTTTACCCCGAGCTCATTTTTCAATAATTTCCGAATGAAATATTGCAATATGTTCAGCTCACGAGCCATTTTTCGGCCACTGCAACGCGGGTTTCGATCAAGTCGCCTCTTTACTTTTCGAACAACTTCTGCTCTTGTTGCTGTTTTCTTCTGTCCACTTCCTTGACGTCGGGCTACGCTACCAGTATCACGGTAACGAGTGATGATACGAGACACAAACGATTTATTCACATTTAAATGCTAGAGTGCTCTAACTATAGCCACTTGTGGTTTGCAGCCAAATATAAAGAAACCACACTATCACCCTTGAATTCCATTACGAATAATTATTTTTCTGGAAAATTCTCAGCAAAATGCTTTTGTACGCTTGTAAACTATATAATGAGCTGTCACTGGAATAACTTTAATAGCTGTCGAACGAGTGGCTTTTGTAATAGATTTGATAAAGATAAAGATGCCACTGTTAAACAAGTAAAAAAGCTGTAAGTTCGGTCGGGCCAAGCTTTGAATACCTTCCACCATTTGGAATAAATTTTGCAATTTTCAAAAAAATAAAATCCGTTAAAAATGTTGTTAAAATCTTAAAAATACCAAATGTAGCCGTCATAATAGGGTCTAAACGACAACGTGGACCTGCATAGGCAATTTTGTCATAAGCCATTACAATATTCAAATGCGAAACTTAAAAAAAATCGGCGAATAATGTAGCTAAAATCATCAATATAGGGAGCTACTGTTACATGGGGGCTATCCCAAAATGTGGACTTGCACAGGCAATTTTCTGCCTTAGGCTGCAGTATCCATTGCGAACTTCAAATACCAAATTTGAAACAATGAATATAGGGAGGTACCGTTATATAGGGGCTATACGAAGACGTGGACCTGCACGACAATTTTCTGTCATAGGCTGTAGTATTAATTTTGAACTTCGAATAACAAAATTGAAACAATTTCGTTAAAATCATCAAAATACCGAATATCAGGATGTACGTGGACCTGCACAGGTCTCCACATAATGGTACCTCCCGATATTCGGTATTTTGATGATTTTAGCAACGTTATTAACCGGATTTGTTTAAACTTGGTATTTGAAGTTCGTAATGGATACTACAGCCTAAGACAGAAATTTGTCTGTGCAAATTCAGGTCTTCGTATAGCTCCGATATATATTCCGATATTCCGTTTTTTTTTTTTTTTGATTTTAGCGACATTCACCGGATTTGTCTCAAATTTAGTATTTGAATTTTATAATGGATACTACAGCCTATGACAAAAAGTTGTCTGTGCAGGTCCACGTTTTAGTATAGCCCTCATATAATGGAACCTAACTATATTCGGTATTTTGATGATGGAAAACACTCTAGCTTCCAAACAAAATGAAGTAGATTGATAAAATATTACTCAGATGTGTGTTTGGTATTGAAAATAGGCTACATAGGTCCACGAACAGATTTAAGGTTTTTTGGCTGCTTTAGTCACAATTTTTACCCAAAATTTATGTAAATTGGCAGCATATGTTCCCATTAAATTTCGAAAATCGAAAAGCTTTTACAAAACTAGAGTTGTACCAAATCATTATAATGCATTTCCGTAAAATTTCATAAAAAAAAGGCTAGCTTTTTTATATTAAAAATGGAATTATATCATAAATCGTCATATTGAATTTATCAACTGTGTTACCATGGTACAATGAAGAGAAGGTAGGTCAACTTTGAAAAAATTGCAAGTATAGAGGTCTGCCTGTTTGGCTTGTAATGTCAGAATTAGTATTAAAACAATAAAAAATCAAACAACTTGTTGCATTTATTTTGAATAAATAATTTCAAACCGCGAAAAATGAATGAAAGGTCAAAATTTCTTTTCAAAATTATGTTCTATATATCTCTTATGGTTTATTTCGCAACAAAAACTGTAGATTTTGTCGAGGTATACGTTGCAATAAGCATTTTGAAAACACCCAAATTTGAATATTTCCTGAACAATTTTTTTATTATTGAAAAAATACACATACATAAACAAATGAAGTTGACATATTAAGCCAGAAAAATGAAAAAATTGAAATCATATGGTTGTTCTGCCCTACCTTGAATTCATTGTACCATGTGTGTTACCATACATTTAAATCAGCTGGGTTTTACTGCTACCATGTAATTGTATCATGGTCTGTAAACAAACAATCGGATCAGCTGTTGTTCTTTCTCAGTTGTTTGTGTTTGTTTTGCCTTTTCCTTCATATTATCGTGAGTTTTAGAAATCGAATAAATCGAACAATCGATAACATTTTTGTGTCATTCTTATTTTGTCTTCTTCGTTTTATTAGTCAAAAGTCGACCTGTGTATCCCTATATAGGAGAGCATACTGAACACAAGAGACCTCAGCGAATCTTTATTGTCGTTAACTATTGGAATTTACTTAAATTTTTTACTTAAACTCTTTGAATTACCAGGAGTCCTCAATAAAATTAACAATTCGTGAATCTTGGAATAAGATTCCTAGTGTCGAATACAACTCGTGCCTGTGAACACCCACAACAGTCGTTTAAACGGTGGAGACAACACCAATCTACCAGCAACACATTTAGAAGCACATCGCAGCCGCTGACGACCAAGTGACGGAGAATAAAGCAAACCAGCGTCCAAAGGAGCTATCAACCAATAAATCCACAAGTGTTCAACACACATTTTTATCCAAGGGATACGTTTTTCAAACAGTGCTTTGGCGGAAGAACTTTAAGTAGAAGCCCCCAACAAACAACACCATCTACTACTCACTCACGATAATGGAAAAAGTGTCAGCAAAACAAAATGAAAAGTAAGTGGAGCAGCTGATGTCTATGGCTGATGCTGCTGCTGGGTAGCCACCAAGGCTGACCACCGGGTTGCAGGCGCATTATGACAGACAAATAGACCAATGTCCGGACTGTCAATTGGGCAAAACGCCAACTTTATTACTAAACCCCTGCCCCTGTCGGTTAATGATCGTAGTTTTTCAGCTCTTCTATGTTCTTTCGCTGCCTGCCTGCGACCAGTATGTTAGGTTATGTTATTCTGTGCGAAGTGAGTGCAAGTGTAGGAACGTGTGTGTGCGTGTGTGAGTGTTTTGATATAAAATTTGGGTCTACGTTTACGGCCTAACATATCAAAATGCAAATTCTAAGTGGAAATTTTGTTGAATTTATCAATAAAGTGAACAATCTTGCCATATTCCTTTAGGAGGTTTTGAAGATAAATTGGAAAATTCATTCTAAAAGTGAAATACCTGTTGAATAATGTTGTACACCCAACAGTTTGCGGGTGCTGATGTTTTTCAAATTGAAGGAAACACTACGCACACACACACTTACACCAGCGCATTCAGATTCTAGTTAGGATAGGGCAGTTAATTTTGTGTGCTGTTGACATGCCATCCATCTATCCTATAAGAACTCACAGAATAGAAAACCAATAAGATGATTATACATAGAACAGCAATCACAACTAGTTTTAGCGCAGGTTATTAGAAAACATGTTTCCGTGTGTATGCATGTGAATGATCTTGTTTTGGGCAATAGTAGCATATGAAAAAATACGTTTGTTGTTATTATTGTTGTTTATTTTTGGAAAACAGATTAAAAGATTTATTGTAATAATTTATCATTCTTCTTCGTTTTAGTTCAAAACTATCGTCTACTACTGCCGCTAAGACGAAAAAGCAGCAGCAGAAACAAAATAAGCAAGAGCAAAAATTGCAACAGCAGAAGGAGCTTCAGCAGCAGCAGCAAAAGCAAAGTAAGCAACAACCACCACAACCCAAACCAAATCCCCAGCAGCAAAAACAACAACAAAAGCAAAAAGAAAAAGATAAGCAGCAGCAACAACAGCAGCAGCAATCTAAAGCGAAAGAGCAACAAAAACAAAAAGAGCAACAATCGACTCAAAAGCAAAGTAAGAAACAGCAAAAGAAGCAACAGAAACTGTTGCAGCTCGATCAAAATGGCCAGAATGATGATGGCGATATGTCCGAGTTGGATTCCCAAAACCAACTCTCAAACTCACCATCGCAGAATGACTTTGGTGGGGATTCGTCGTCACAAAATGACGATGGAACCGATGCCTATGGGAACAATCAGGCATCGCATTCTCTTTATGAGTTACAGGGTTTGCCACCGCTGTCCCAATACGAACTCCCCGAGGGAATGTCCACCAAAGCACCGTCGTTTTGGCAATACGAGTTGCCCCGGGAACAATCGTTTTGGCAATATAAACGAACCGAGGCTCTTACGACACAAAATCCACCGCCATCAACAAAACCACCATCCCAGCCTCAGCAGTACGAACTGCCTTTGGAACCGTCTGTAGCTTTCCCGGAGCTACCAACGTCTTCATCGCAGTCGCAACATGCTGCTCCCAAGGTGCCATCCGTGTGGCAGTATGGCTTGCCAATTGCTCAGCAACATGAGCAGCCAAAGCCTACACCGCCTCCACCAACTCATGAAGAGTTTCCAAGTATCTTGCCGCATAATGCACAGAACGAGGTACCACCAAGGAATCTGCCTTTGCCTCATATTGAGTATGCAAAGGCAGTACTATCGGCTCAGAAACTGCAACAACAGCAGCAACAGCATCATCAACAGCAGATGCAGCAGCAACAACAACAACATGTAAAAGCAAAAGAGCAACAAGAACAAAATATTAAACAAGAAAAACAAAAAGAGCAGCAACAAGCCATGGCAAAATCTAAGGAACAACCACAGCCTCAACAACAGCAACAGCAGTCTAAGGCTACTAAACAAAGTAAAAAACAACAAAAACAGCAACAAAAAAGCCAGCAAAAGCCGGAACAACAACAAGAAAATCAACAAAGTAAACCAAATCAACAGCCACAACAAGTTGGACAAAATGACAATAAAGATGAGGTAGAGCAACGAACGGACTCACAAATGCAGCAACAAAGCCATCAAATCACGAGTTCCCAAACGACTACTGGAGAACTGTCCGAGTCCTCTTCGCAAAATGAGTTGGAAAAGTCGATTTCAAACTCGCCTGTGGGTAATCAGCTGCACGGTTCAGTAGAAATATCAGGACCACAAGAAAATGAAATGCCTCCTGTTTCCATGGCAACACAGGGCGAAATGACTCTTCAGCAACTAGAACAACAGCAACAACAGCATCAGCAGCAGCAACAACAACAACAACTACAACACCAACAGCAAGAGCAACATCAACAACAACCACCAAATGATATTCCTCAAATACCATCTCAGATGGCGTCCTATGGCTTACCGATTCCCCCATCGCTGCAGCAAATGTTCGATTTACAATTCGAACAAGCAAAAATGCAGCAACAGCAGCAGCAACCACAATCGATGTACGATGTTCCCCGACCTATGCCTATTCAGCCGTTTGATTTGCCTAGAACACAATCGGTTTGGCAATATGAACAACCGGATGGTGCCATGCAGTCACAATATCCTTTGCCGAAAGGACCTTCAATGTCGCCCTTTGAGCAGATCCAACGACCACCACAATCTCTGTGGCAGTACGAATTACCAAAGGCGCCATCGCGCTCGCTTTACGATATGCCCGAGTCTCCTTCGCTGTCGCAGTATGAGTTACCTAGAGCTCCATCACAGCCTCAGCCATTTGATTTGCAAGAACCCTCGCCCCAATCACAATATGAACTACCTAAGATACCATCTCGATCCCTATATGAAATGGCCAATGCTTCTATGATGTATAGATACGAAATGCAAAAGGCTGCTGCCTTATCGCATAACGATATATCGAAGATGCCTCCTAACCCAATGCAATCGGACCTACCAAAGGTGCCCCCACGCTCTCTCTACGAGATGGCCGATTCATCGCCACAATCGCCATATGAACTATCCCAATCGCCATCACGATCGCAATATGAATTGGCTAAGGCCACGCTGCAGGCTCAGTTATTGCTGCGAGAAGCGTCGACGCTGTCACCACAAGACTTGCAAAAGTTGCCGCCACAAACCATTTACGAACTTCAGAGAGCTTTGCTCTTGACCCAATACAGTGAGATGACGCAGGCTCAGCAGTTGGCGGCGGCCCAGGCACAGGCACAATTACAAGCCCAGCAATTATCCCAGGCCCAGCAACTATCCCAGGCTCAACAAATGGCACAACAGATCCAACAACTATCCCAGGCTCAAGAAATTGCATCGCATTTCTCCATGCAGAATGCCCACTCAAGATCGCTGTATGAACAACAACAACAGCAGCAGCAACAGCAACAGCAACAACAGCAGTCCCAAAAGGATGGTCCAACGCTTGTGCCCTTCGATATGACTGAAAACCAGCAACAAGCACAACAGGCACAATATCAAGAGTTGCAGAAATCGGCTTCACTTTCGCAATTTGAGATTTCAAAACCAACATCTCCACCGCAATTCGATTTGACAAAGACACCATCTCTGACACAGTTTGAAATGCCAAAATCATCGACACCGCCGCAATATGATATTTCCAAGTCCTCATCCTATGAGGCGCCCAAAGCAGAAGCATCGCCCTCGCAATTTGACCAATCCAAGCCATCGAACAACTCGCAATACGATATGACAGATGCATCAGAAACTCAACAACAGCCACCGAATGAGCAGCCTTCAAAATCTGATTCGCCCACAAATCAAGACGAGGAACCAAAAACACCTTCGCAATCGTCTCAAAACGAAATGACAAAGTCAACTTCACCCTCACAATTTGAATTGCAAAAGGCATCATCCCGTTTGCTGTATGAACTACCAAAGGGTCCATCGCGTCTGCTTTATGAATTGCCAAAGGGGCCTAAAAGTGCCGAAAAACATGATATCTCCGAGAAACGCGAAAATCATGTCAAGTCGGAAAGTCTCGCCGAGAAGCCAGACCGTTGGGAGCGGGCTGATCGTTTCGACAAAAGTGATCGTTTCTTTGACAGAAACGATAGGTGGGAGAGAAGTGACAGTAGATTTGATAAATCTGATCGTTTCTTCGATAGAACCGAAAAATGGGAGCGCGGCGATAGTTTTATAAGAAGCGACAGTAGATTCGATAAAAGTGATCGTTTCGAAAGAAGCGACAGTCGTTTCGACAGAAGTGAACGATTCGGTCTACGCGACGATAGATTCGACCGAGGCGATAAGCTTGAAAGGAGCGATAGATTTGAAAGAAGTGATCGCTTTGACCGCAGTGATCGTTTTGAACGAAACGAGAGATGGGAAAGAAATGTTATTGCCGACAGTCCCGGCAAGCTAGAGAAATCTGAAAGGCCATTCGATTTTCATAGTCGACAATTTAATACGTATCGTTTGTACGCTTCTAAAAAGGACAATTCTTTGACAGAGACTACTGGTTTGTCGTCCAAAAATCATACTTCATTGGACACATCGAGTTCGGATAGCAACAAGCCGACTCTCAAAGCAAGGTAAGCAAAGATGATAATTAACATTTAGGTTGTTAAATAAATGCAAAATTTAAGTATTTACCTAATTCTTGGTTTAGATATTCTTTTAACACAGAGTTTTAATTATTCAAATTGTCTTCCTATCTGTGGAAGGATTTCATCGATGTTAACTAATTTTCCATTTTATATGGCCAAAGGGTGCTATAGAAATAACGGCTTTAGTGTTTTCATGTGTTTATTTCATATTAGCCAATTGCCAGGACAGCTGATGTTCAAGTGCCACTATTTCTACTTTAAAAGTGGTTCAGATAGTCTTGTGTGTTAACTGTGATCCCAGGTAGATATTCAGTAAAACGATTTCCTTCGTCAGTAAATATAAAAAAATTGAAATTTCTCGATAATCAATATATCCAATCCACTTCTTTCTACATTGTTAAACCGAACTAGATATATTTCAATTTACTTGGGGATCTATTTAACCATGCCGAAGCAAAACACAAATTCTGAAGGTCTGTTCCAGAACTGCAGGAATGTAAAAATGTTTACTACGATAGCCGATTTTCCGTTTATGATAACGATTCTTGTGGCTGCTGGAACGAAGCATCGGAGTTCGTTGAACATTTTGGATTTTAATTCAATTGAAAAATGGAAAACAAAAACATTTTCTCTTGACTGTGATAAGACTGTCTTTTCATATTTTTGCCTTACAATTAAATTTCTATTAATTTTCATTTCAAATGAGTATAACGTACTAAATTTAAACTGATTCAATTATCTAAAAACAAAGTCTAACACAGTGAGAGGACTTCCGTGATAATATTTTTTATTCTGCCAATCTTTTGAAAACTTTGCTGAAAGATTTCATTTGGAAGATGAAATGCTTCGCTTCTCACAATGTAGTTAACCTTAACTTCAACAGTTGCTTATTTTAACAAATTTATTTTCTTTATTTTATTACAGTCACAATTTCAGTAATTATCGACATAGCTCGGAAATTTTCGAGAGCGACGAAGACGATATGGATGATTATGATGCCGACAAGATGCCACCCATGGAGGTGGATCCCGATGATCATCCATTGCAACATGAATACTGGTTATGGTATTCACGCAAAGGTGCACACCGTGCCACCGATTATAGTAAATCATTGCGCATGGTTGGACGCTGTGCCACCATTGAACATTGGTTGTCACTCTATTGTAAATTGAGACGCCCCACAGCCTTAAATCCCTTCCGTGAGTTGAGTCTCTTCAAAAAGGGTATTCGGCCCATGTGGGAAGATCCGGCCAATTCGAAGGGCGGACAATGGTTGATACGTTTACGTAAAAATCAAATTGACAGAGCGTGGGAGGATATTTGTATGGCCATGTTGGGTGAGCAGTTTATGGTTGACGATGAGATTTGCGGTGTAGTATTGACTACAAAGATTCCGGTAAGTCGATTTATTTTTCCAATTCTTTTGTATCTCTAACCAAGATGATGATGATGTCAATTAAGAGCCAGGGAAAATGAAATTGCGGTAAATTTTGAAAAAAATGTGAATTAAGCAATTAATTGATAAAAAATGAAGTGTAAAAGATTCTAAAACTTAAAAGAAGCAACTACTCCAAAAACCAAACTTGTTTTAAAATGTCTTTTGCAGGAAATTTTGGTAAATGACAGTTTTTTAAACAAACATTAAAATGAGGTGATTAAAAATTTTATTAGTAAAGTTTATTAAGATATACTGTAGAAACATTTCCAATTTTTATTATTATTTGTATACTTTTTACAATGAATTAATAAGTATTGTTTTACTATTTTTAAGGAGCTTACATTGTAAATATTCAGGGAAACTACATAGACTTGTTTTAACTAATGATATTTACAGCTGTATGTTATGAATGCTCTGTTCCAAAACCTGCAAGAACCTAACAGCATTATATCATAAATGGAAATTGGCATATCGTAGTTATGCATTTACATTATTGCAAAGACTGTTTCTCAATCACGTTGAACCCAAGGTATAATTATCAATTTCGATACATATCATTGCGTTGTTGCTTGTTCAAAAATGGTTGAAGTGCAACTCTTACAGCTATGAACATTTTGTTCAAAATTGCTCTTTTCCAGTATCTGTAAGAATATACCACTTTTGCATTTGTTCGATATTATAAAGGGAAAATCGTAGTAAAAACTTTATGCTATTATTATTATTTTTTCTGAAAACTTTACCTCTTTTGTTTCCGGTCTTCTGTGAAAATTTCAACTCGTGGACAAAATGCCCAGCACGGATGAGAGAGAAAACAAAATTTACTTTCGTTTGAATGTACATACGCCACTCAACATTGTAGTTTTCATTCATAATTTTCCGTCTTCCTGAAAAATTTTTAAATTTCATAAAATTTTTCTATTTTGAATTTTAAGATGTCTTAATTTATTTGTTCAATAAATGCTCTCATTTGTTAGGGATGACACATATTTTATCCTATTTCTGTAAATGATTTGAATGGAACAAAAAACAAAAATATTTTTTCGCTCAGCAAATTTTTTGTGATTCCCCAAATCATGGTAGAATAAAACAGGTATCAGCAAGTGTTGTTTTACAGAATTCAGAAGCAAAGCTTTCATATCATTCCCCTGAATGTATAGTTGTTAGCTGTAAATCCAAATCTCTCAACTCTACAAGCAGTCACCAGAAAATCACATTACTTTCAAATTGAAACTAAACTGCATACATACATAAAGTATTCTACATTTTGCTATTTTAGGAAAAATGAAATATACGACAATGTTACCTAATGTTGTGTCGCTGCTTTTTAACCGCGAAAAAAGTTTTCGCACATTCGCCGTTGGAGATTTGTTGAGTACAATGGAGATTTTTTCTATTATTAGGTTAAAAATATTATATTTAGTAAAAAATATTATCATTAGTATAAAGTTTATATCAAAAAATGGTATACCCATTGTATATCAAGAAATGGAATTAAATCACAAAACGTCATATCGAGCATGACACTAGTATTACTGTAGAATCAAATCAGCTGGGGCAGCAAACCTGTAATAATTATACCATGGTGGAGAATTAAGACGATATTTAATAATTAATGGTTGAACAACTAATAGAGAACTTAGCATAACATTCTTACCATAAACAGAACAAATATGTCAAGTCTCTGTTTGTTAGAGAGAGGGTAAGAGGAATGGAAATGATGACAACTGGCAATTTTCTAGCAATTCTTTTTGTGTTATTTTTATACAAAATTTCAAATAATAATGACAGAAAAAGTAATAATGAAGAACCAAATTGCTAAAATCAAATTGCCTTCTATACATGCAGAGGACGAGTTTAAGGGAGAACAATAAAAATTGTAACAAGAAAACTCGACCAATCTAAATTGGGACTTATATTAATTTTTTTAATATATCAGCGCTCCTTAAAATTCAGCCCAGCGTACCCAAATGTTTAAGATCCAATTTATGGTAAAATGTTTTATACGCACGTATTATCCAAATACGCCAAGTCCACATAATTACAGAAGATAGAACAAAGCTACCCCTAAATACATTTTTTCCTTTTTGTATCCTTATTCTGTCAAAACATATACACATTTTGTGTATGTGTATTGTTTTGAATAAAAAATACAATAATTTGAAATTATTTCAAATTTGGTTGCAAAATAAATGCAAATTTTAATCGAAATTAGTAACAAGTTGTACAATTTTGTGATAAAACTGTATTGTACTACTATTTTCCATTCCATTCTTGCATTGGTGTTTTTCCCCAATAAAAGAATTTTGTTAAAAAAATAAAAATAAAGACAATGTTGCATATTTGAAAGTCTATTTGACACTATAAGACTCCAGCACAGAGTTGCATTTTTCTAGTTTCTTTAAAATTGAACAAACTTTCTTATTGAACCATGTTAATAACGCTGTAAGATGTGATCATTTTTAAAATACATACAATTGTTATATTATCCATTTTCAAACATACACAATGTTTTGTTTATTACTATTCATATCTATTTTCAACATACAAAAAAAAAGAAAATATACAATTGTCAATGTTGAAAATATTCAACTTTGAAATTTTTGTACTCCCGACGTTTTTGTGTAATATTCATATAAAAAAATTTGTGGTGAAATACGTCGACCGAGTACGACGAATTTTTTGGTAACGCTATAAATAGTTAACCGCTAAAATAGCAAAATTGATAAGTAATCTGTTCCAAACTTGATTTCTTATTTCTTTCAACTGGCAATACTGTATCAATTCTCTCAACTTCACCTCTCGTTCTTTCATATTTTTATTTTGACATTTAATGTTGTGCCTTTTTGGGTAATGAACAGTTGCTTAACATGGCACTTTTTCTTGTAAATACGTACGTAAACAACTGTCACCCAACAAACACAAGGGCACACACACACTCAGACAAATCAAAGTGACATAAAATTTTTGACGTAATGGTTGGAAGCAAATAAAAATCCACAGTGAAAACAAAAAATCGCCCTGCCGAGTAAATAAATTGTGTTAAATTTTGTTTACAAACGAAATAACGACGGCCAGCAGTGAATGCAATGCAAGAAAAGTGCAATATTTAATTGTGCATACCAATTTGATACGACCGGAAAATTTTCCGTTTTTCTTCCTGTGGAAAGGGGTTAAAACAAAAAAGGTTAAAGAGGAAAATTGCAAAAAAAAAAGTGTCAGTGGTTTTCTGCTTGCTGCACAGAAAAAAAGAGAATTTCGTAAACACTCCCTCGCTTTTTAAGAGTGTTTTTAACGCACGCTCTTTGTGAGATACGGTTTTTATTATTGTTTTTGTGGGGCCATCACTCTGGCGTTTGTCTGGCACAGCTCCCCAATTTAGTCGAGAGTAAACCTTTGCGACGAGAGCAACGTTGTTTCCCACGTAGCGTTATCCCCAAGCAAACGGGTGTAGCAATGTGAAAAATTCCAAAATTACACAGTGAAAAAGGAAAAACCCATTTCTACAAGAAAATCAAACGAAAAATTCAGTGAATTGCTTAGATTCAGAAGCCAATAATTGCATATTATAAAAATAAATTCTTGTGATCTTTTTGAAATTTTTTGAAAAAAAAAAAAAAATAAAAATAAAAAAATACACACCCACCGTTTGTTAAATTGGAGACAACCGACCAAAAGTCAAATCAAATAGCCTACGCGCGTGAATAAGCAAAAGTGTGCTATTAAAAACCTTACCCCCGGAACGAAAACTCAAGTCTCTTTCTATTACGGCCGCCTGACGAAACAAAAGTCTTTTTTTGCTTTAATACGTTTACGGTAGGCTTTGCGCAGAAAAATCGATATTTTTACATTGATTAAAAATCCCCCCTTCAAACGACAAGCAACAATAGAAGCAGCAGGCTTTTCAAGGCGTGTGAATCAAGTGATTGTCCATGAAAATTGAAATTTATATCCTCCCCCTATTTATTGAAGGAAATGAAAATCAATTAATGAGTTTTGTGCAACAAAATAAGAAAAGTAGCCCATAACTGAATGTGTGTGAGTGTTGAACGAAAAGAAGAAAAAAATATTTGTAATCAAGTGTTGAACACGAACAACGGCCAGAAGAAGAAGAAAAACCAGTGGCATTGTGTGGATACCAAAGAACCAACAACAACATCATCACCATACCAAGCTAAAACCTTTAAACAATTGATATAAACGGGATTTCCAAAAACGCCCTGCTGCCTAATATTCCATCCTTGACTGTTTTATCTTCATCAAGGTTACGAAGGAATAACATTCCATAAGAAATCAAAAAAACAAAATAATATAGAAAGTTTATTGTTTCTCCAAATAGGAAATAAAATAAAACTATCAACTTAGTATTTGGTGCGTAAACGTCAAAGGAAATTCATAATTAAAAAAACCAAAAGCAATACACACAAAATACCTTAAATCAGTCTCTTTCCATACAGTGAAATAAAGAGAAGAGAACAAAATTCCCTTACACAGTGAGAGAGTTAACAAAACCAAAGAGCACAAGTGTTGTCAGTAAATAAAAAAAGTAGGAATTGCTTCGTGTTGCAAAATTATCAATTGTTTCCCACAAAATTTTATTAAAAAATAAAACCATTTTTAAGAAAGTGTCGAATTTTATAATATAAACGCATTACAACAAACATATTTTTGTTACAAAATTTCATTCACCAAAAAGTGAGTCACGTTTCGAGCCATATCAAATCAACGAGATAGCAGCAAACCAAAAAAGAAGAAGAAGAAGCAAGAATACATTCTCTCTCTCTATACGTGTTTGTGTGCCCGGCTACCATCCCCCAAACCCCGACCACAACGTTTGATATCAGTCATCAGTACACGCTACTCCACAAGCAAAAAAATATACACACCACCAACAACAACCATACTAAACAAGGGGGAGACCAACATATTTTTGATGCTCTCCAATCTGAAACAAAAAAAAAAAATGCCAGTGTATAATCATTAAGTGGATTTTATGTTAGAGTGGCATTGAAAAATCTTATTGGAAAAAGAATTGAAATAAAAAAGAACAAAGCGAAAAAAACACGACAATTAATAAATGCGACAAAAAATTAACCAAAAGATCAACGACAGAAAAGAAATCACGAAATCAAACACTAATATTCAACAAATGCCAGTTAATAAAACAAGTATTGGACAGCATAGAAGTATTGAAATTTAAATACCTATACTAGTTAGGAGAGAACCTTGGAAAATTTTCAACGCAAATCAGCTAGAGGCTATTAAACCTTAAAAGAAGCAACAACAAAAAACAAGCCGATCAACACTACCAGTAGTTTTACTTAACTAAATTTTAATACCGCCGCCGCAACCACAAGAAGTAAAACCAGCATCATGACAAAAGACAGATTAGCCGCTTTACATGCCGCCCAATCGGACGATGAGGAAACCGAGGAGGTGGCCGTCAATGTTGACGCCACCCATGACTCCTATATGGATGACTTCTTTGCTCAAGTTGAGGAGATACGTAATATGATAGAAAAAGTCCAAGAAAATGTCGAAGAGGTAAAGAAAAAACACTCGGCCATCCTCTCGGCTCCCCAGTCCGATGAAAAAACCAAGCAGGAGCTTGAAGATCTCATGGCGGACATCAAGAAGAATGCCAACCGTGTGCGAGGCAAACTAAAAGGCATCGAACAAAACATCGAACAGGAAGAACAACAGAATAAATCCTCTGCTGATTTGCGTATTCGCAAAACGCAGCATTCGACATTGTCGCGAAAATTCGTCGAAGTAATGACCGAATACAATCGCACACAGACCGATTATCGTGAACGTTGCAAGGGTAGAATACAGCGTCAATTGGAAATCACTGGCCGTGCCACAACCAACGATGAACTCGAAGACATGTTGGAACAGGGCAATCCGGCCGTTTTCACGCAGGGCATTATCATGGAAACGCAACAGGCCAAACAGACATTGGCCGATATTGAAGCTCGTCACGCCGATATCATGAAACTGGAGACATCAATTAAGGAGTTGCACGACATGTTCATGGACATGGCTATGTTGGTGGAGTCGCAGGGCGAAATGATTGATCGCATTGAATACCATGTGGAGCACGCTATGGACTACGTGCAGACAGCAACTCAGGATACAAAGAAAGCTTTGAAATACCAGAGTAAAGCTCGCCGGAAGAAGATTATGATTCTGCTTTGCTTGACTGTGTTGGGTATCATAGTTGCTGCATATGTTAGCAGTTATTTCATGTAAATGCCATAAATTCTATATAATTCTATTTAAAGCGTATTATAATTTCAATTTTTATTAAATTTATTATTAATTATATATAATATACATTAAAACAAAATTAATTAGACAAAACAAAGAAATCAATGAAAACTTGCAATCCCCAAAATAGCAACAAAAAATATAAATGTAGCAGCAGCAGGAGAGGAAGTAATTGTTTAAACAACGTTTTGAAATATTGCAAGAGAAGAGAATATTATTCTTAATATAAACTACCTTACCTACCTACCTTATCCCTTCTACTACTACAACAACAACTACTCCTACCATACATATTATAAATATTTATCTCTGACAAAGCAAAAACAAAACAAAATTTACTACCTACCTACCTATATATAAAACCCCAAAAATATAATAATTATATATCTCATATATTTATTAAAAAATATTTAAAAAGATCAACAACAACAACAAGCAGAAGAAGGAAAGAAAAGAAAAGCAAAACAAAACCGTAGTAACAATTTCTCTAAACACAAAAAAAAAACATTAACTACTTTACATAATAATGTACGGAGTGAAAAAAAGAAAAAATATCCAAAAGATATATAAAAATATGGGAAGGATAGAAACATAAGATTAATAATAATGATGAAGAAGAGAAATAACAAATTGTTGCTAGATTATTAATTACCAAAACCAAAGCAAAACAATTGTATGACAACAAACCACAACAATGAAACGAAATATAACAAAATCAGAAAAATACCAAACAGAACAGTTTTCAAATTTTCATTATCAGGCCTTAAGCCTTAAATAAGCAATTATTGAAATTAACAACAAAGAAAAAAACAATTACTTTTAATTAAACAAAGAAAAAAAAAAAACAAATTAAAAACAAACACTAAACAAATACCAACCTGCCACAAAAAGGCCTTAAAATCATTATTCTTCTTCTAAGTCGAAATTTTTCCCAATGGCTGCTTTTTAATTCTATTCATTTTTTTCCAGAAACAGAACTCTTCCAACTCCCACAGCAGCAGCTAATCAAAACATTTTAAGGCCTTTGTTTTATGTTCTCTTCTTCATTAGTTAGTTTCTTCTTCTATTTTTATGATAGAATTTTTGTTACTTAAAAAGAAAAAAAGAACAGTGTACTACTATAACAGAATTTCCTGAGACCAATTATGGTTCTAAGTAGGCCACCATGAGAAATATTAATTTGTTGATTTTATTCTGATGTTTTGAATATTTAGACAGCAAACTAATTTTAGTTTTTTTTGCCATACAAAATCAAACTCTCTTTCCTACCTGTTCCCCTTTATTCAAAACCACAAAATAATCTTCTTGTAATTAAAACTAGTTTCAATTTATAGTTATATACAAAAATATACATATGTGTCTAAAGTAAATTTCCCATATATTTCCTCTATCTCTTGTTATTCTATACTTTTCACTTGGAAAAGACAAAATTTATTAAAATAATAATTAATTAATTTTTTAATTTTACAATTAAGAAGCTATTATGTATTTTTCACCTATTTATTGTTATAAACATAAAAAGTAGAATCTCTATAAGACACAAAATATTGGAATTTAATGTTTTTGTTGTAGTTCATTGATATATAAATTCTTATTTGTTGTTAGTTCTTTTCAGTTGACATTTGTCTTGTTCAATTTTGTAAGACCCGAGAGAGGGCGTTATTTTCTGAAATTATTTGGAATCTTTTATACACACATGAGTATAATTAAAAATATTGAATAGATCACCCAACTTCTCAATTAAATTACAATATTTTCCGTTTTACTAATTGTTATTGAAATACCTATGTGAACAACGGAGTTGAATCATGTTCAATATCTAATAATAATTTCAATTCAATTTCTAAGATAATGTGAGGACCTGAATTCATGTCAAGTTTTATTTCCCTACGTGTCCATTGGGCACACATCACACCGCCAAATGAATCTATTTATAAGTCAAATCTTTAAAACAGCATGAAATTCTAATATTTGCTGAATAGATGTTGATGTTTGTTTTTAATTGACATTCTATATTTCGATGTGTACCACTACTTGTTATAACAATTACAACTAATATCAATACACTTATAAATTCATTTGGCAATTTTTGTTTAAATATGCCATTGACTGACTTTGTTGTGATGTGTTGATTCTTTTTCAGAGAATGACGTACCTCTCACCGGTCTTTGATATTTATTTTTGTATTGTTTCTTTTTTGTTTAAATATTTGTTTGTATGAGATATACTCATTCATATTCAACAGTTTCAAGCCAAGTAAAAGCAACGAAGAATGAATGACAGCCAAAATTATTAGCATACAGTCATGTTTCTATATATTTAGTGTTAAAATACAATATAGGCATAAATAAGTGGATATAGTCTGCTCGATTTGACATTTTCAAAACCTCTTTAAGAATTTTGCAAATATACATGAATAGTATAAGTCGATTTCCAATGAAGGGCTATTGAGAGTAGCATTATTTACAAATGAATATACCATGTATTCGGAGTAGTGTGATTTTAGAATAACTCTCATCTTAATAATTACTAATTGATTTGTAACAACTCCCATTTGTACATGAGAACAAAGTAGAAAAGTTTAATTTGTTGGATTCGATAAACAATATTCCCGAAAATATGCCAATAAAATTCAGCGCGCATTGTTGCATTTCTAATCCGATTAGATTGCTACAAATCGTAAATATTAAAACGTATATCCGAAAAAAGCAATATCTTTCTTGATCTTAATTGCCACTTAACGAGATCGATGCTGTAAATGCATCGGGTGACTGGACCACTCTAAGTGGCTTTCCATTACCTTTTGGCATACTCACAACGATTTTTTGAAATCAGAATTGTTCTCTTATTTTGGCGTAAAACAAGTTGTCAAATTCGTTGTTGCTTTTTATTCCGACTTGAAATGAAGTTTTTTCTGTAGATATGATAAAAATAATTTACACTCATTTTTCAATGTGATTTTCCTTTGTATGTATATCTCGTACCTGTAATTTTTAGATTTTCTGTAAACTAAGTTAATAACAAGAAAAACATGTAAAAATGCATTTACTTTTTTGTATCATAGAAAGGTTATTTTTTGTTAGTTTTTCTTTTCTATTGTAACCTGTTTAGTTATTTAAAATAAATAATATTTTTTTATCTGTTACATATACATAAACATAGAAGACATATGAGGTCATTTCCTAGGACATACTTAACCAAACGGCTACAAAAAATAAATCACAAAACAAACAATTATTAACTATAATGTATATTAATAATAATAGCAACATATAACAATGCAAACAATTATTAGCAAAGCAAAAAAAAATCACAAATACTTAGAGACAACAAGAAACACCTAAAAAATAAAAAAAAAACACAATCACCCAAAACATGTAGAGAATTTGTTTTTTTTGTTTTATATTTTTTTGAATTCTTTTTCTATTGCTTATATGTATAGAATTTGTGTCACTTTTTTTCTATGAATCTCTGGTTTTGCTCTTCAATCCATTTATTGAATTTATATACTGTTTTGTTTGTTAATCACTTTATCTTACCTCCTCTTTTTCTCTGGTACAATTTTAAGAGAAAATTTTGTTTTGTTTTGCCTTGTGTTATCTTTGTACAATAATTTATTTTATTTTTTTTTTATATTGTATTTTTTTATTATTATTTATTGTTTTTATATATTTGTATATCAAGTTAGTTTATAAGTTTATATTTAACAAACCAACAAAAAATAAAAACAACAAGAAAGCTGCATATGTGTGATTAGATTGTGTGTTAAATTGTAGTTATCACCAATTTGGTTTTTTTCTCTATAAATATTATAAAACAAATTATTACGTATACAGAGTGTTTCAATGTGAATTGATGAAAGTGACAAAGTGCGGTAAAAAATAAAAAAAAAACAAATCAGTTGTGAGAAAAAATCACTAATTTATCCAATTTTTGATAAAAAATACTTCTTAGCTTAGAACATAGATGGTCTGTCAGAAATGCTGACTTATAAAACATACGTATGATAAACCTTGGCAAATAATAAGAGTTTTTGACAGAAACGTGGTGGTTGAATACAAAGGAAAATAAAAAAATGGGACATTTCATTGCTGCGTTAATTCAATAGATGGCGTTGGTAGTAGAAAAAATATGATAATATTTTGAAATATGACAAATTATGACACCAAATCATAACATACTATGTTACATGTTTAATAGGATTTTCGCTGATTTTTATATACATATTTGGGTCCATATCTATCATATCTTATGCTTTTCTGCACAGCTTAACGTAATTTTTTCGCGATGTCGGAATAACATATTTTTGTAAATTTTCTAATGCATTTTTTCAATATCGTCTTCAATCTATTGCCCGATCTTGTTCAATCTTTACAGTTTTATATCTTTGGAACAAAACGCCAGCCTCAGGTTTTAAGCTCTCTGAAGTAACTTTGCCATATTTGGAAGACTTACACAAGGAAACTGTCCTGTTTAAAATCAGCGAGGTTTCAATAATACGTCCTAAGCGTTTATCAAATAACTTGTGATGTATTACGTGGGATATTACAGTATTTTAAAAATTTATGACGTTTTATACTTTTTCTACGTTTTGTACACGTTTACAACTTTTCGGCAGTCAAAAACCTAAAAAACTGTCAAACAGACCATCCCTGACTTAGAGTGTCTGGGAATTATATTTTTTTTAGCACTTGCGCGGTTCAGAGATGTACTTAGAATTGGCTTCGGATATCTTTACCATTATTTTTAGTTGTCCTAAAAAAACTTTTGACAAACTCTGAACTCAATTCGATGTTTAGGCAAGAGGGATTAACGACCATTCCTGATTATTATACTTTCTAAAGATTTGACCCATAACTTTGTAAATGCTTAATTCCTTGTGTTTATGCTTTTTTAGGAAGAATAATAGCGATAGTGTATTGGTGAAGAACTTTGCTGTGAACTGTTCCAAACCTGAGTATAGAGCATCAGCCACTAA